ATAAGAGCCGCAGAGGGAGGGGCCCGCTCGACGATCACCCGCTCCGTCCGGTCGACACAACGACCGCGAAGAGGGGGGAGACGGTGGCGGGCGCTCCTCTCACAGCTCGTCATCCGAACGGCGGAGGGGGCTCCAGAGGAACGGCACTCCTAACCCTGGGATGGGCCAGCTGAGCGCACTGCACACACGCCATCGGGGGGAGCCCGCAATGGCCGCCGAGAATACCCCAGCCATCGAAGCCGCCAGGGCAGTCGCCACCCTCGCCATCGCCAACGCCACCACCCTCACCGCCGCCACCTCCGCCGCCACCGCCCTTGCCACCAACACCCCCGCCGACGCCACCCTCGCCGCCAACACCCCCGCCACCACCCTCCCCACCCAGGGTAACCAAAGGGAGGCGAGAGGTAGTCATAGTCGCCGTCAACGTCGGGAGCATCGCCTACCAGACACCGGCCGCAGGGGCCGCGGCACATGGCACAGCAGGGACGTTCAGCAGGGCCCCGATGGGCACAAACATGAACACCCTACTGCGCCAAATGGGCGCCAGCAACCCCGACGGCACGAGAAGAGTCGCCCTCTGGGCGCTGTCGTCGACGGGCCTGCCCAAGAGGGACATCCCGAGAGCTCTGGCCGACTTCGCATCCGTCGGGTACCTATGTGAGGAGACGCACGGGGTAAGGGGCGACAGAAGGTCGGAGATAGCGGGCGTTATGGTATGCATCGACCCGAGGCAACTTCGATTCCTCAACGTCGGGCAGCGTAAGCAACGACACCGGGTGGTGAGGACAGGACGTATCCTCCGGGTGCGGCTGGGAATAATGGGCGCGACAGCAGACGACGACTTCGACGTCATGGCATGCTACATGCCGACACGGGGCGCGCAACGGAGGGGCGGACAGGAGAGCAGCGAGGCCAGCAGACAGAGGCGCGACACGAGCGGGGGGGCACACAGCGGCGGACAGGGGGATGCCGAGCCTTCGATCAGGGTGGTCGTCGCCGGAAGCCGACGAGCGGAGACGCGCGACACGGGAGCGGACACAGTCCCGCGCCCCTTGCCAGTCAACATCATGAGAGGCACCGGGCTCGGCAACCCATTCCCCATGGGGAAGAGAGGCACCGACGAGGCGCTGCGCGACCAGGTATGCGAGGCATTCGACACGTGGCTCCGGCTGCGCACCGTTCCCGCCTCGGCCGTGTGGGACACTAGATCCACGCCAGCGCTCATCCGACAGGCCAACGGGCAGCCCTTCTCACAGGAGATCGCCCCTCGACGCTCCGACGAAGCTAGGACGGGGAACGACGCCGTCGTGGCGATGCGGGCCGCGCTGAACGGCCGCGGCAACGCCAAGGTGGTGCGGCTCGGATGCTCGCCCTCGTGTCGAGAGGGGAGGCTGTGCCACGGGGACAGCCTCGCAGCCATGGCGCGAGAGCTCATCGGCGTACGAGACGAGCGGCGTAGAGAGGGGCAGCAACGTGGAGACGCCCCAAAGCCACGCAAGCCGAGGGCAGACAAAGGGGTGCCGAGAGGCCCGCGAGCCCTCAAAGGCACAAAGGCATACCAGATCGGGCACCTCAGTCTACTGCGGTTTCGGCTCGGGCGCGAGAGGCAAGTGTCACAGCGGACCCTCGACGCAGTGCGCGAGGCGCAGGGAGCTGGGGTCGAGCCGTGGAACACGGCAGACAGCCAAGGCAGCCAACGGGCGCCCAGGAAGGGCCAACGGAACCGAAGAGCCGCACGACGCTTCCTGGACCGACTCCGTTTCGAACTCCTACAAGGAGGCAGCGGCGGGGACGGACACAGACACCCCGAAGACGCCAACGACGGCGACGAAGATGGAGAGAGGAGCGAGGACGAAGAGATGCCCGACCGCACAACAGAGCCAGGGCCGAGCGAGCAACCACCCGAAACGGGCCATCCAAACGAGAAGGCAGCCAGGCAGACGACGAATTTACAGTGATGGACGAAGACGAGGAACGGCCAGAGCACGAGGCGTCCCAGCCGCCGAGGAAGCGGGGGCGATTTGAGAACGAACGTAGCGATTCGATGAGCCAGGGGGAGGGGGTGAGCCAGCAGCATCACGAGGGCGAGGAGCCGATGACGAAAGCGCAGAGAAAGCGGGAGCGCCAGCGGAAGGAGGGCCCGCCACGGAAGCCTAGAGATGATTCAGAC